AGTGTTTTAAATACCGTACTGGTGGCCATACCGGTCTACCCACCGGTACGCGGTATTACCGGTACGACCGGTAATATCGGTGGTATTACCGGACTAGCAAATATAATAATATATATATTTATTTTTAAAAATATATAATACCAAATACAAAAAAAAAATAAAAAATAAATGATCATAATCATTAATTTTAACTTACCAATGAAATAAAATAAAACATTCTAACTACCAATTTAAATTTTATGTTTTTAAATTAAAAAAAAAAATATTTTTTATTTTTTTTTTTAATTTTTTTTTTCATGGCCGGTATTTTGGACCGGTTTTTCCCGGTATTTACGGTACAATACCGGTACAAAACGATATTACCGAAAATCCGGTATTTTGTGTGTTTTTGTACCGTACCTAAGGACGGTAACCGGTAATACCGGTATTACCGGCCGGTACGGTACGGTTTTTTAAACACTGGTTGTAACCTCTCCAACTCTCTTTATTATAATAAAGAGGATTAAACTCATTTAAGAGTCCAATGTGGGATTGACTCTTGACCCTTCAAATCCCACAACCAACGTTTTACGTGCTCTTTTATGGCTAACTTTAACAATTTATTTCTCACTCACCGAAAATCAGTTTTGAGAAAATAAACATACCACGAGTATCTACTCGAAACGTAGAATTTTTCTACAATATTTAATTCAACTAAAATTAAATATTTAGCCATCAAAAATTCAGTCAAAACCGGGTCAAACCCAAGTTTTACAACTGATTTTTCCAACACTAAGTGGTTCATTTAATAATCAATAATGGAAGATAGTAACGTTGTAGTGAACAACGGCGTCCCCTTTGTTGTTTGAACTAAAGGTTCTGGGGAGCGCCAAGCCCTTGGCCATCCGGAACTTTCCGGTGCCTCCAATAATCGGCATCTCCGGCCTCACCTTTTCCATGAAGGGGTTGCGGGCCAACATGCTCAATGTGCTGTTGTCTTCGTAGAACACAAAATTGAGGGCCATTGTTAGGCACGGGGTTTCAAGGTCCGACTTGGCGTATATCCCCTGGGCCCGGCCCACGGCTTTGGACTTAATGTCCGGGCCCTCGGTCAACGGGTCGTCCATCATCACGAGTGTGCCAAAGTAGTTGGGGAATTGGGCCTTCGGGCCAGCGATGGGCACGGCAGTCGGGTTGCGCCCGCTGACCGTATCGTGGAAGTAGAACTCAAGGTTGGTCATCTTGGGCTTGCCCAGGCCCATTGACTTGGAGGCTGTGACTGGGAATAACAATAACAGGCTTGATGATATCAACATTGATGTGCCAATAATGGCCATATTAAAGGAGGATTGGACCATTTTTTTTTTTTTTTTTAATTGCTATACACATACCTCTAAAAGCCCTATGTTATATATATAGAGCACATGAATTTGTTAAGCGTGACATTAATATATTATTACATAAAGGCCAACTTTATTTGTTTACTCATACTCATGAAGAAAAGAAAGAGGCTCATTGAAGTCCGCCATAATTGGTCGCCTAGGTAAAGAAAGAGAAGCACACAAATATTACCATGGATGACAAATAGATCAAATCAAACTACAAGAGTGCCTTAATTTTAGGCTCCTGGAATAAATAAATAAATAGGGTAAAGAAGTATATGGCCACAAAAAATAGATCAAATCAAACTACGAGGGTGCCTTAATTTTAGGCTTTGGGAATAAATAAATCGGGTAAAGAAGTATATGGCCACAAAAGTTATTTACAAGTAAATACAAGGGAAATTCTAAGACCAGCCCAACCATTATGTCTACTATAGTGCAGAGTTTATTCTACTCTAAGTCTCTGACATAAAGTGAAACAAAAATCAAGTTTCGTCTCTAATCGTTCGCGCTACATTTTACTTTACATAATATTTTCTTTTATTCTCATTATAATTTTAAATTATTTTAACTCTATATTTTTACTCTACACGAAATATTTTTATTTCCTTATTATTTTAAATTAATTGTAATGTAATTTAATAAAAATACAAGTAGATACAACAATGTTATGTCAAGATTATATTATTTTTACAAATAATCACGATACTACACTTTCTTTAAAATTGTACATTATTCTCCTGAAAATATTTTTTCTCAAAAAATCAATTACACACTTAGTGTAAATGTATAAATTAATTTATAAGAAAATTTATCAGTAAGAAAAATTGTCAATGTGTAATTTTATCTGTATGGAAATTTATCAATATATACTAAAGTTTATCCGTATAAAAAGTTATTAAATTTTATCCGCTTAAAAATTTAAATGTGCAAATTTAATATGAAAGTTTACCTATTTTCACAAAATACTACCGCAACATAAGAATAAAACTAGAAAAAAATGGCAATAAAAATATAAAAATTAACATAACAGTCTAGCGTGATGTACAATATTACGTCAGATGTGGAGACATACTGTTTAAAACTCTATTCTAGAGTTGAAATATAGTGCAATGTTGGAGATAAAATTTGCGTTATTTTACTATTTTAGAGTAAAGCAGTTAATGTAGAGTCACGCTGGAGACGCTCTAACGCTTTAATAAAACTTCGATCTACCTACGAAACAGTGGCCTCACTAGATTTTTTTGTTGTTGGATCGATATGCACTCATATGAGTGTGTGTATATTTGAATGTGTTTAATTTAATCGTAGAAACTTAAAGAGTATTTAAATTTGTGTGCTCACTTGTAGGGGTGAGCATGTGCGGTTCGGTGCAGAACTACACCGAACCGCAAAATAATTGAAAACCGAAAATATTAATTTCCCCAAACTGAATTGTACCAAAACTGGTAGAAAAATTGAATCGAAACTGCACCGAAATTTTCGGTTCGGTGCGGTTTCGGTTAACCGATTTTTTTTTTT